CATCTACATAAAGGTGCGTATTCACTATCCGAACGAACGAATGCTACTATCCAACGAGCGAACGTCCAGTCTTGTTCGCGCGGTTCTATAATTCTCATTCGTTTGCGAACGTCTTTGATATACCGAATGGAAACAGATGAGGGAGCGAACCGAATGGCGAACGGCCGCATGCATTCGGTTTGCTGTCCAAATATACCGAATTTCATTCCTTTGTTCTTTCGGATAGTGAATACGAACCTTAACATAAAGCACCGCCCCTCTCAATGCGTTCTCCCACCATGCTTATGCTTTACTTGCCCACACCCGTAAAAACCGGCAACACTGTATCGGTCGCACCGGCTCCTCGCCGGCCCCTTTGATGCTGTCTCTCTGTCTGTCAACCGGTCATTTATATTATTCTCTGTCTTACACGTTAAAATCCTATACACAGTAATCAAATGACCAGGTCGTAGGTATATATATATATATATATATATATATATATATATATATATATATATATATATATATATATATATATAATATATATATATATTATAAAATTAAACAATAGTAATGAACAAAACAGCTTTATGGTGGGAGTACCCTATGATCAAAAAGAAGCAGTATATGAAAATAATTTCTGGCCAAAAGGTGTTGTTTACAGAAGGTACAATTTCAGAAGAAATAAAAATAACGAACAGAGTGAATCTTTTTTAGAGAAAACAAACCGAATAGGTTCACGGGATTAACACAGCGAAGTGAAAATTCAACATCTGAAAACACCATAAAATTAGTTCATCAAAATATGCAGTCAGTAAGAAATAAACTCGATGATAACATATCAATTCTTCACTTGAACATACAGAGCATTAACCAGAAGATCCTTGAGCTTGAGGTGTTACTCTCTGATATATCCCCTAGTTTGGTATGTCTTTCTGAGCACTGGTTGCAGGATCTTGGCATGGAGAAGATCAGTTTAACAGGATATCAACTGGTGAGCTACAATTCAAGAAGTAATTTTCGTGGGGGAGGTACAGCTATCCCCTCAAAGCAAGAATACCAATTTACTGGTCTGGACTTGGGCGTATCTTCAATGGAGAAAGTCTGTGAATACTCAGCTTGTGAAATTGCAATACAGAATATTAAATATGTAATTGTTACTTTGTATAGGTCACCAAATGGTGACTTTAACACTTTTATTAGTATGCTTGATGTAATTTTGAAATGTATATACTCGCCAAATAATTTTATTGTTGTGTGTGGAGATTTCAACACCGATTTTTCTGTCACTGGGGATAATAGTAGTTCCTTGGTTCAACTTTTCCGCAGCTTTGGCATGGGGCCCTTGGTGAATTGGATGACCAGGGTAACGGCGAACTCTGCTAGCAGAATTGATAACGTTTTAACCAACATAGACCAGAGTCATTTAATGTGTAGGAATGTGACGACATTCATATCTGACCATTATGGTCAACTAACAACTATCCAAACTCCTACTTCCCACTCCAAGGTAAATTATAAGCGGAAGAGATTCTTCAATGATACCAACATTTTCGGTTTCTGTTCATATCTAATGTAAATAGTAAGTACGAATGTTTTTTCCGAATTTTCTCTTATTATTTTGAACTAAGCTTTCCTTTTTGTAACGCTAGGGAGAAGGCGATCCCAGATTGGGTGAATAATGAAATTAAGCACTACTCGGCACATATTAAAGATCTTTACGTTACATACAAACAAACCAATAGTCCAATAATTGACTCTCGTTATAAACAAGAAAGAAAGAAATATAGAAGCTATGTATCTAATTATAAAAAGTCTTAATGAGAACAAAATTTTAAATGCAAAAAATAAATCAAAAACTGCATGGAATATTATAAATAAGCAAACTAATAAATCAAATTCGCATAAGGATATTTCAATAAAGTACAAGGACACTAAGGTTCGTGAGCCGAAGACGGTGGCGTAACTGTTTAGTAAACACTTCAACCTCCCCTTTTCTTACAACGATACTTATGTGGATGTTGGTGAATCCATTACACCCACAATTTTTCTCAATCCTGTTAATTCACAGGAAATTTTTAACATTCTAATGAATCTTCCGAACAAGCATTCCGCAGGTCTGGATGATATTCCGGTATTTCTGTTAAAACGCATTGCCTCCTTCATATGTACACCTCTTGCAGCACTCATAAACGTATCCTTCTCATCTGGGGTTTTTCCTTCGGCCTTGAAGGTTGCTAAACTTATCCCGATCCTTAAAGGGGGTAATGCTTGTCTCATGAACAACTACCGTCCAGTGTCACTTCTGTCATCTTTTTCAAAAGTGTTTGAGAGGGCTCTTTGTGATAGACTTGCATCTTTTTTGGATCGAAATAGTATATTATCCAATACTCAATATGGGTTTAGGACAAAAAAGTCATGCCACCTGGCAATATTGTGCTGAATTTTATTATTGAAAGGGTCGACAGAGGTGAGAAGGTAGCAGGTATATTCTTTGATTTATCTAGGGCTTTCGACACCTTGAATCATGGCGTCCTGTTAAATAAGTTGAATATATATTGAATAAGGGGAGTTGCCGCGCGGTTACTCGAATCATATTTATCTGATCGTCAACAACAAATTTGTGTCACTCATGAAAAGTCAAAATACTTCTCTCAGTCCGTCACAGTAAGCCAGGGAGTTCCACAGGGCTCTATATTGTGACCGCTTTTGTTCCTACTGTATGTGAATGATCTTCATGGGGAGTTTGTCTCGGGGCTGGTTTGCCAGTATGCAGACGACACCTCTCTGGTGTTGACAGACCAAGTTTTGCGGGGGCTCTCTGGGGCTTGTTCGCAGGCAGTGGGGGCGATGCGGGAGTGCTGTAGGAAAAATAGCCTACAATTGAACACTTCCAAGACCGGACTTCTTACTTTTGGTAAAACCAGAGATAACGAGTCCTTGTATGTCAGCTGTGGTAACAAGTCTATACCACTGGCCGATTATGTAGTTTCTCGGTGTTTACATTGATCCTACGCTTCACTGGACAAAACACATAGATATTTTGACTTCTAAATTAAACAGTAACTGCGCGATAATACGAAGATTAAGGGACCAATTGTCTCTGGACACCATTCGAACTCTTTACATCGCCACTTCACAATCCTTAATTATGTATAGCGTTATGTTTTGGGGATCATCGGCTCTAGCAGAGCAGATCTTCAGGGCCCAAAAGAGAATGATCAGGTATATGTTCGGCTTGCATCCGAGGACATCTTGTAGGCCATATTTTGCAAAAATTCATGTCCTGACTGTGCCCTCTTTATATTTTCTGTCCCTGGTGATGTTCGTTAAGAAGCATTCCGCCCTTTTTGCTACGAACTCGAGTCACTATGGTCCAGATATGGAACGGATTACCGGGGGGCGGGATGATTTGAGCATACCTCTGCATAGCTCGTCTCGAGGGGCACAGGCTACAGGGCGGTCAAGGCCTTTGAAATGTTCCCAGCAAATATTAGGGCTGTAGGTAGCGATTACCACTTTAGGGGGTCGGTGTTGGAATTTTTACACGCACGCGGTTTTTATAGCTTTAACTTTGAATTTTAATTATGTCCTTTGTCTGAATATTGTTAAATTTTTATTATTGTTATATTTGTGTATTTATTACTATGTTTTAATGTTCTAAGATAATATACTCTGTAATGGGATAATATACTCTGTTCTGTGACGTTGCTTTGTGATCGGGAAGATCATTTTGTCGGCAATAAAGTATTTGTATTTGTATTTATTTAATGTCACTTTACCATAATATTCACCGTCAAAGCGGCTGTACTACCCGTTGCGGTCGGCCGCTAAAAGCACGGTCGCTCTTTAGAGGCACTGCATTGTAGAAAGTCGAGATATAAATACAGCGCTTTTTTTTGTTGCAAAAAACAATAAAACTAAAAATTTAAAAAAATACAGGGTGTCCCTTAATGACATGCTGATATTTAAGGAGGTGATTTTTAAACCTATTCTAAGAAAAAAACTTCATATGAATATATGCCCTAAACATCTCAACTTTTCAGATACAGGGTGGTAAAATTTTCTATTTTTTTTTTCAAAATATCTCTAACAAATTTATTTCTTAATTTCCTTTCCGCCGATGCAGAAATTATTTCACACGGCAGTTACCGCATTAGGTCCTGAGGTAAACTTTAATTTTTTAAAGAAAAACTATGCGTCGGATGAAAAAATCAAAAGATAAAACATAATTTTTATTTGAAGAGAAGTCAGTGGTGTACCACTTATTTCTCCAAAAATATTCAATTCAAAACACGTATGGACGGCACTGGTTGACATAAATAAAATTATTTGTACACGAAAAAAAGTATTTGGATGCATAGAAGACGTGTATTAAGTTTCATAAAGATATCTATAATAAAATCATCAAGAGTTATTATGAAAATACATTTTTTTTGAAAATTATACCACCCGGTATCTCAGAAATTAAGATATTTAGGACATCGTTCGTATGAAGTTTTTTTCTTAGATTAGGTCCAAGAATTATCCCTTTAAAAATCAGCATGTCATTAAGGAAGACCCTGTATAATGGAAACTATAAAATATTCATTCTGCCGAAAAACTCGTGTATTTTTCAGAGGAATGAATCTTTTTAAGAATTGATTACCCTCTTACAATTTTAACAAAACATTCGCCGGGCCCCATCATGCTCCATTTTGTAATTAATTACCATATATTTTAAAGATAGTTATAGATAATTATATCGTTTCTGTACCTATCTACAACTTATTGATCACTGTATATACCCCTTCTTTCAATAATTTTTGTATGTTAAGGTAGAAAATATCTTCCAAAAAAAAAGTTGAAAAACCTTCAACCTTTTTATACCTATTTTAGTACCACTGTGCTTCCACTTGTTATTTTTTCTAAGGTAACATAATTCTGAATTGATTGAATTCAATTGAAAGATTATGATAGACAAATCTTGGGGATGGACATCGCGTCGGGCTAGTTTATACAAAATAAAAATTACATACTTTCAACAATGGATCTGCATGTTCAAGGAACCAGCCAGCAACTGCATGTCCTGCTTCGTGATAAGCTACTGTTCTTTTTTCTTCAGGTGATAGAACATTAGTTTTCTTTTCCATACCTCGAAAAAAAAATTTAAGCACAAGTATTCCTAAATAAAGTTTGATATGACTGAATATATACCTGCTACAACTCTTTCTATAGCCTGTTCAAAATGTTTCATAATAATTTTATCATTCAGGTCTCTTGCCGCAATTAACGCAGCTTCGTTGCAGACGTTTGCAATATCTGCTCCAGTAAAACCTAAAATTACACTATTTATTAAAATAGAGAGCATTAAAAGATTTAAAGAGAACTTGACAATTTTTTTCTATTTACCGTTTTACAAATAAGTCTAAAATTGCCGTGTTATTTAAAATTGAAAATTAATTAAAAAAAATCGCATAAGCCTTCAATGTGGTCACTAACAAAATTTTTAGCAGGTTATAAAGCAAGTGGCAACATTGCATTCAATGATACACGCCAAGAAAATATTGTGATAAAATTAAGGATGTGCATTTATATGTATCTTTTTTTTGAACAGTTCAGCACAGTTCTATTGTTTCTACTTATATTTCTCCCAAATTGTATTATCATTATCATCATATCTCCCAAATTGTATTATTATCATATCTCCCAAATTGTATTATCAAAATTACCAAACATAGTGTCTAGTGGTTATTAACAATTAACAGAGAGTTTAGGCTAGGCCCTGATATGCGAATTTGAGTCAGCTGATTATTTAGTTACCAGACTTGAAAACAATATATTCTTATGAAGCTGCGCACATATGCAATCAAATGGTTAGCCTATCAGCTCCATAAGAATATGTTATTTTCATTTTTCTAACTAAATAATGGGCCCGAAATTGCATGTCAGTGCTTAGACTTAATAGAGAAGCTCTACATAGTATATCAAGATATTTTTATAAATATTTTTGCATTTTTATCAAACATAAAATAGTTACCTCATAATATACCTCAAAAAATAGTTTAAAAAAAAATAAAGCTTCTTATAAATCTAAATCTTCTAGTTCAAAAAAAATTTTTAACTGTTTTTGCAAAAAAAAACTAAATAGGAATGTTTGTTTCATCATTTAAGAAATACCGAGAGAAACACACTGTATATAAAAGTAATTTTTACCAACACAAATAAAATATTTATGTATTACCTGGTGTTAAAGCAGCCATTTTTCTAGCTAAATCAGTTTTATCTATATCTGTCTTTAATGGAGACAAGTGAACCTAGCAAATAATGCATTATATTATATATTTCTTAAATACTTCATAACTTATTTACCTTAAATATGCTAGCTCTACCCTTAATATCAGGAGCCGGCACAAATATTTGCCTATCAAAACGTCCAGGACGCAACAAGGCTTTATCTAAAATATCGATTCTGTTAGTCGCCGCTAAAACTACAACGTTTGTAGTAGTGTTGAATCCATCCATTTCAACCAACAATTGATTTAAAGTATTTTCTTGCTCTGAATGACCTCCAAAACTCCTACCTCCTCTTTTCCTACCTACAGCGTCAATCTAAAGATATTTTTTTAGAAACAAATTTCAAACAAATATAAAAAAAACTATTTTACTTCATCTATAAATAAAATACAGGGTGCATGCTTTCTTGCCATGGCAAACAGGTCCCTAACCCTCGACGGACCTACACCAACAAACATTTCTAAAAACTCTGAGCCAGAGACTGTTATAAAGGGCACATTCGCTTCTCCAGCAGTGGCTTTGGCAAGAAGAGTTTTTCCAGTTCCAGGAGGGCCTAGAAAAGTTTATTAGGGTATTACCAATTTAAGATAATGTGTATTTTACCTGTTAGCATGGCTCCTTTAGGAATCTTAGCTCCTAAATCGATATATTGTTGTGGGTTCTTCAAAAAATTAACAAACTCCATAATCTCAATTTTAGCTTCTTCACATCCTGCAACATCTCTGTAAAAAAATGTATTGTAAGTATACAATATCCCCCTGAACTCAATACATACCTAAATTTAACTCCTATTTCATTTGAATTGATTAGTTTTGCGGTACTTTCCATGACACCTCCAAATAAACCACCCCCTTTTTTGCCTCGGCGTCCTCCCATCATTTCAGCAGATCTTCGCATCATGTAGATTAAAAAACCAATGATTAGGAGAGTCGGTAGCAAGCCTAAAACATAAACAAATTGAAAATGTATGTATCAAACCTAAATATAATAGTAATTTTATATTGTACCTGTTAAACTAGCCGCCTCGATTTCACTTTTATATATAACAGGAATAAAGTTGGGTGGTTCAATATTCATTTCAATTTGTGCACTTTCTAAATTTCTTTCAAATGAATCAACACTACCAATGTTAAACCACAGTATAGTCTAAAAATATACATGAAAAATATCTTCTCTTATCTATTATATCCTATCAATTATAATATAGGGAGTACAAAATCCTTACCGATCCTTCAAATGACTGCCCTGGTGTTAATTTCACTCTAACCCATTTTTTATTTACAACTTCTAGTTTTTCTACTGAACCTTTTGCCAAATAACTAGAAAATAAATTGGTTAATATAGAAGATATCTTTTAAAATTCAAGCTGCTTACTTATAAACAAAATCCTTCCATCCGATTTCTCTATAACCCATTTCCCACATTGTGATTGTCGCTAAAAATGCAATGGTTCCTGCTGCAGCAGCAAGAAGCCACTTGCTCTGTTCGTAATCATTAAATGGTTTACCCCCACTTCCTCTAAGCACAAAAATAAAATAATATTACAAGTCATAAAGCTCATAGTTAACTCACCTGTTCCCTGTGCCACCAAAAAGACCAAATGACCATTGATCGTAAGGTTTCTTTTCGCCTGGCGGAGCTCCTAATGAAGGTTTTGGTGGTTTTTGTTCTGGTTTTGTCTCTTTACCTTCAAAACAAGCATTATACATTTAGGTATCTACTATAGTTTCAAAAATCTAACAAACTAAAATACAATTATTATTTTCATATACCTTTGGTCTCTTTAGATTCTTTTGCTTCTGGCTTAGATTCTTTAGGACTAGGTTTTCCATCTTTGAAATATTTTTCAAATCCCTTAGGAGGTTTTTCACAAAATAATTTGAACTCTTCCAAAACTAGTTTTTTAAATGTCGAATTATTCTGGAATGAAATGTGATTTTATAATATTGTGAAAGTTTAATATGTAGATAAGAGTACAAAATTTTCATCCTGTCTTATCGCTAACATTAAAAAATACAGACTGTGAATGTGAGAGCCCCAAAATCCACAAATACTTATAATGAAAAATATTACATCTATATGCCCTAAATTAAGTAAGGTTAAGTAGATTATTGAAACATACTTTTGGAATATCCGTGTTACATTTCCTCAAAGTGTTCCACACTAACTTTTCTAATTTTCTACCACTACTTAGAAGCCTGTATGCCATGTCAAAAATTATATTTTTTTCTCAAAAATCACATAACTTTCAAAAAATCATTTTTAACCTAATTTTTTGTTATATCAGCTGTTAAGAGTGTTTGATTTGAGAAGATACCGGTTTGGTTTAATTCCGGTATTTAATCAATGGATGTTGGCTAAGGTCTAATTGGCAGGGTTCGGAAAACTACATGTTGCTTTTAAAAACTACATCAACTACATTACATGTAGTTAATGTAGTTTATGTAGAGGGTGTACTTTATGTAACATATGTATGTAACTTTCAAATATCAAAGGTTTGAGATTGGTTTGAGGTGACTGAGGTAAGGTTATAATAAGTTGAAGCTTTAGAAAACATAAAGTATTTAAGAAAACCGAAGAAATATGGCTTTATATATAACAATTCACATCATACTATGTAGATTCCTCATACAAACCTAAATTATTCATAATATCAATAGGTAGTTTATTAACGTAGTTTTCAAGTAGTTAAATGAACTCGAAAAGACGTAGTTTTCGAAGAGAAACTACACGTAGTTAATCAGGTAAATTATGTCTTAATTAACTACTTCCGAGCAGGGTTCGGAAAACTACATGTTACTTTTAAAAACTACATAAACTACATTACATGTAGTTAATGCAGTTTATGTAGAGGGTGTAGTTTATGTAACCTATGTATGTAACTTTCAAATATCAAAGGTTTGAGATGAGGTTATAATAAGTTGAAGCTTTAAAAACACATAATGAATTTAAGAAAACAGAAGAAATATGGCTTTAAATATAATATTTACATCATATTATCTCTATTACACCTCATAGAAAGGAAAATTATTCATAATATCAATACATAGTTTATTAACGTTTTCATGTAGTTAATGAACGGGAAAAGACGTAGTTTTTGAAGAAAAACTACACGTAGTTAATCAGGTAAATTACGTCTTTATTAACTACTTCCGAACCCTGCTTCCGAGCCCTGCTAATTGGGTCTAATTAATCATCATGAAATCATCTATGAGTCTGTAAAATCAAATAATAAAATGTTTTAGAGGAGTTAGGTAATTCAGGGTTACATAATCTTTTAGAATAAAAAATGAAAATATTAATTTTTAAACTGTGACGACCAAAATTGGTTAATAGTTCTAATGTATTTGTTGGTTATATCAATTGAACTACATTTTTTATGTCATCTGCTTGTCATTCTTTTAAGATTAACCTCAAACTCAAAATTTGAGGAGATAGGTTGCCGTAAACTTAACGTTTTGTTTGATTTCCAAACATTTCCCAAACCAAATATAAATTTTAAAATACATATGCTAATAAAAAAATAAACAGGTATTTTTTACTTTAAGATATATGTTGTATATCTTATCCAACTAAAAATTATTTTTTTTGTAGGATAAAATGATTATTCCTGTGCGTTGTTTCACTTGTGGAAAAGTAATTGGAAACAAATGGGAAGCTTATTTAGGGCTTCTACAGGCTGAATATACGGAAGGTGACGCCCTTGATGCACTGGGTCTTAAAAGGTACTGTTGCAGAAGAATGCTGTTGGGTCATGTCGACTTAATTGAAAAATTACTTAATTATGCTCCTCTAGAAAAGTAACTATTAGTAGTTCTAAGTTCAGTTTACTTTAAAATAATAAATATAAGCGTTTCATTGTCCTCAATGAAGAATTTGTGATTTCTAAACCTAAAAACGTTTATTTTTTGTAAATATCAGTCTGTAATAAAGGATTTGTAATATTTATTATGTTTGTTTTAATAGTAATTATGTTTGGATTTAAAGATGTGTATATGGAGATTGAATAAAATAAAACAATTTTAATTAGCCGGTAAGTAAAAATAGTTTAATTTGTTATAATTTTTGAATATAGTAATTTATATCTAAAATAAATACTTTTTCGAAACAATTAACACTACTAGCAGCCTATAATATAAAACATATCACATTGCAATACAAGCATAACGAAATCTTCCATTGTTAAATAAACATCCAGTTAGTATTAAAACAGAAATTCTAAAAAATCATTCACATACAAAATTTATATTATACATAATATATTCTTACATCAAAAGTATTAGTATACAAAACTAGAGCTTTTATTAAATTTGCATAAAACTGTATTTCGATCATTGAGAAAACACTGGACAGTAAAAATGTTTTTAAAAGAATATGCAGGCAGATCAGAGTTTTTTTATGAAGTGAAATGCCAATATCACAATTCATAATCTTAAAAAAACATTTTTTGAGAATTTCATATAGGAAGCAACTTGTTATACTAACATTAAACGTTTCCATAAACCAATATAAAACCTAAAAAATAACGAAGATAATACACTAAAATTATTTTTTTGAGATAATTTTACACATAACACAACAACTTGAGAAAGGGTGCTACTAAGGATACAGAACATGTTTGTGTAAGTGATTTTTTACCTTAGCGTAACGAACCGAGTGTGACTTGTTCTTATAAACTAATTATAAAGAGAAGAATTTAAGGAACGCAGCGGGTGGGACGGGCGCGGGGGGAGTTATGCCGCCGGCTTCTTGCAATCGAGCCCTAAAATCGGGACATTGTTCGGCGATACACGGATGTCCTAGAGATTTCCAGAATAGGCATCGGCAATATTTGCATAGGGAGAGCATTTCAGCGTATTGGCGGTCTTCGTTCAAACCATACGTCCTGGAAAAAAGAAAAAAAAAAGAAAATTAGAATTTAAAATGTACAATGTGAGTGGTCCAAAAAAATATATATTATCTGGTTTTCTATTTAACATTCTCAATTCATTTTTTTTAATAAATATGCAGATAATAATAGCACGTATTTTAGAAATATTTTCATACATATACAGGGTACAGTAAAAGTACGTCGGGCATCTGTAGCTCCTAGAATAAAAACTTGGAAATTCATTAGTGCCTTGGGAATTTTGTTTAATTGCAGATGTAAAGTATGTACTAGGATATATTGGAAGAAAATATTTTAACTTTTAGGTGGCTCCAAAAAATGAGTGGATCAGAATGATTTTTTAATGGAACACCCTGTATATTATTGTATTTTTTGCTTCCTTTCAGATCAGTCTATTAACTATCTATATAATCTAGATCCTAAGATATGAGCAAATATATTTCAATAGAGAGATAATAAAAAAAAAATAAAAATATATATTTTTCAGTCTTAAAAAAAATATTACAAATAGAAGAACTGTCCTGAAATCAAAACTCTATTAGGTATTTATTTCAGATGGTCTATATTACTTTGCTATAAATGTCATAATATAATTTTAAATCACACAGGGTGTTCAAAGTTCTAAGCCAAACTTTCTAAAATATAAAATAATTTTTCTTCGTATTTCTAAATGGAACACCCTGTATATTATTTTTTATTAGCTGCAGAATTAAAAATTAATATTTTTTGTACTTAGAGTGCTTCAATTTTTGTATATACAGAGTGTTCTATTTAAAAAAAGAAGAAAAGTTTGCCGTAGAATTTTGAACATCCTGTGTGATTTAAGATTACGATATTTATAGCAAAACTAGTTGAAGCCTGGCGCATTCGCCACGAAATCAGGAAAAAAATACTTTTTATTTTTTGGTTAATTAAATAAAAAACAAAAAATCCGGCGACGACAGTTTTTAGAAGAACCAATTAGCTATCTTTTAGTAAAAAAAAGCAACTTTCTAGAGCAAGTCGTTACTTCAGTAGAGACGACACAGATTTTTATTTTTTGTTTAATTAAATGAAAAACAAAAAATCCGGCGACGACAATTTTTAGAAGAGCCAATTAGCTATCTTTTAGTAAAAAAGCAACTTTCTAGAGCAAGTTGTTACTTCAGTAGAGACGACACAGATAAACATTAGCATTTTATATATTATGTAGATAAGTACAGACCATCTAAAGTAAATACCTATAATAGTTTTGATTTCAGGGCAATTCTTGTGTTTATAATAATTTTTTTAAGAAAGGTTGAAAAATATATTGTTTATTTATTTATTATCTCACAAACTATCGAAAAAGGAAGCCAAAAATGCAATAATATACAGATCCATTTAAAAAAATCATCCCGATCCACACACACTTTTTAAGCCACCCTGTAGAAGTGAAAATATTTTCCTCAAACATGGGAAATTAAAATAACTTTGGTTGCACATCATAATACGACCACCAGCAAACTCCATAAGACGACGCATGGTGTCACTGATGACGGGCAACGAAAGTTGTTTTAATTTCCCAGGGTGATTAAACCATATACAGGGTGGCGCACCTCATTCGCCTCGGTTGTTTATACGAAAACGGAAAGATGTAGAAACAAAATATTTTATGGGTATATGTGGGGAGACAATGTGCACAATTTAAAATTATTTTGAAATATACAGAGTGTTTCAGAACTAAGATCCATACCAAAGTTATATTTTTTCTTATGGAACACCCGGTATTTTATTTCATTTTTGAATGCTTGGGCCCAAAAAAAGGCATTTATTACAAGGGTTAAATATGTCTAAAATCTTTAGTTTTTAAGATATTTAAATTTGCATGCTACAATAGAATAGATTATTAACACCCTGTACATTACTTTTCAGAATTAATTCTTATGCTGAGTTTAAAGGTAGAGAAATAAGCTTTGCTGAAAAATGGCATTGCTTCCTTAAATTTATACAGGGCTATCAAAAGTTGCTGATCTAGGATATATTTTATATAAAAACTTCGTTATTTTAAAGGCAACACCCTGTATTTTTTTAAATAAATCGAAGCAGATTCAAATGCTCTTTCAAACTACATATATTAGGGTTTCCTATACCTATCTAGCTCAGATTTTGAATAAAAAGCGATTTTTAAATAAAATCGCAATCAAGATGGCTGATGTCGCCATGGCAATTTTCTACAGTTAGTAACTATTTTCAAAGTCGACATTAGTTTATGGATATTATTATATATAATTTATAACACTTTACTTAAATGTACCTACAAGAGTTTAATAAGTAAGTATTCATTATTTTATCAAGAAAAATAAAGTACTATCTGCTGGCAGAACGAATAGATATTATGTTACTAGTGATTTTATTTTGTGAGGAAAATTGCTTCTTGGCCTCAGGGACTTATACTTAAAGATATCAAAATAGGAATCTTCCTGATAAACGTTCCTTTGAAAAACTACTTGTCCTATTTCGCAGAGCTGGTAGTGTATTAGGCAGAAACCTGTCGTTGGAAGTGAAGAAAATGAATTTGCCGTAATTGGCTCTTTTATAGAAAATTCATATATCTACAAATCATCGTAAAATAAATCAAAGAACTTCTTCCTCGTTTTTCTTGATACAATAATAAATACATATTTAATAAATATCATTTATTATTTATTAAACTATTGTAGGTAAGTTAAATAAAAGTAAACTGATATAAATTTAAATAAGTCCATAAACTAATTTCGATTTTGAAAATAGCTGCTAACTGTCACTAGAACCTTGCCATGACGACACTAGCCCTCTTGGTTGCCATTTTATTGAAAAATTGCTCTTTATTCAAAATCTGAACTAGATAGGTATAGGAAACGCTAATATAGTTTGAAAGATAATTTGAATCTGTTTCGATTTATTTAAAAAAATACAGGGTGTTGTATTTCAAATAACGGAGTTTTAATGTAAACTATATTCTTAAAATAGATCAGCAATTTCTGATACCCCTGTATAAATTTAAGGAAGCAATAACATTTTTCTGTAAAGTTTATTTCTCTACCTTTAAATTCAGCACAAGAATTAATTCTGAAAAGTAATGTACAGGGTGTTTTTATTTTAAACATATTTAACCCTTATAATAAATGCCTTTTTTTGGTCCCAAGAATCCAAAAATGAAATAGAATACCAGGTAAGAAAAATAATAGAAAGAAAATAAGAAAAAAATATAACTCTGCTATGGATCTTAGTTCTGAAACACCCTGTATATTTCAAAATAATTTTAAATTCTGCACATTGCCTCCCCACATATACTCATAAAATATTTTGTTTCTACAACTTTTCGTTTTCGTATAATCAACCGAGGCGAATGAGGTGCGCCACCCTGTATTTGCGCATCATAAGTAATAAATTATAGTTCACATTAGACTTTCTGAGGATATCAAAAGAATTACATTTTTTTAGAATTTTTACGAGTAAATGCAATACTTTTCAAATAATATTATAAAAAAAATTGTGTACGTGCTATTTAAACCCGTGTATTTTTTTAGTCGGCTGTTTACAGTATTTTCCGATGGTGGAAGCACCGGCGGCGTATGCACAAACCAAGCCTATAAGTATGTGAAACGTTTAAGAGCGTGCGCACACGGGTCGATTCGAACTTGGAACGAATCTCCCTCCACTCTATTTTCTACATAAATAATAGTAGGTCCACGAACGGGTCGTTTGTGAGACTGATGATACTAAGTAACTGATACTATTATTTAGCTACGAAGGCAGAGTGGAGGGAGATTCGCTCCGAGTTCGAGACGCTTCCATTTCGAAAGCCAGACGACCCGTGTGGCGGACGCTTTAGAATAGTCCAGTTACGATAAGTACCCTTTAGCAGTTAAGTTATCCCCAGCTTACTTCTTTAAAGAATGAAAGGTCTTTTTCCAGTCGATTTTTTCATTGTTCTTTGGTACGACTAGGTCGATTTGCTGCGGATTGAAATGGAATTTGGTCAGTTCTCTCCAGATCCTTTGCTCGTTGACGATGGTGGAGATCTGGGCACACGCCTGCGCGCTGGCCGTCAGATCCTTGTGGTCGGACAGTCGCAGGATGATCTCCCGGATGCACTCTTCGGGCAGGTTCAGGAATTTCGGATGGCTGTCTGGATGGGGCTCGAGAATTTGGAATTGGGACGCCATGTTTAGGATGCGGTTGATTTTGGCGGTGTGCTGGTTCCATAACAGTTGTGATCCTAGAGGTCCTGAAACAAGATACGTACTACTTTATTTACGTAATTACTTTTATTACTTTTTTATTTTATTAAGAAAGAGAATCAGCTTCACGGTAGCTCGTATTTACTTGTAAAATAATGTCTAACAAAGAGACATATTTTTTGTTACTCAATTATTGCGGCATTTTACAAAAAATATCGTGATTTTATTTTATAGTTGTTTTGCCATTAAACATAATAAAATTTAGTATGAATTATTTTTTTGTGCGGTGTATCTTCTAAAGAAACCAGAGATGGTCGCTGGTTATGTCAAATTTCTCTCCCTCTCTACTGACTAAAAACCACATCGGAGCATCAGCTACCAGGGCTAATAGCTCTTAGTACTTACTAAAATTAGATTTTCTTATATAGATAGAATATCACATATAGCAAACACATACACATAATAACTGATGTGCTTAGGCTAAGGCTAATTAATGTAAAAATACAGTATTGTAAAGTCAGAGTCTTTTGTTTCACAACAGAGGTATAAATGACTTTGTATTCGAGTATGGTGGAGAATCAATAATTTCAGAGCATAGTGTGTCCTTCTTGGGAGTAGACATTGATAGACGTCTGGATTGGACGATGCATGTTGACAAAGTGGCAACCAAAGTTGCACAGTTTGGATATGTATTAAGAGTAATATCAGAACGGGTTGGTGTTGATGTAGCAATTTGTTCTTACCATGCGTTTGTGTCCTCTAGAATAAAGTATATGGACTTATTTTGTGGGGAAATTCTTCTGACGCTCAAGGATATTAATATTACAAAAAAAAGTCTACGTAATATTTCTAATATGAATCCACGTGAAAGCTGCAGAGAAATTTTTAGAACATATAAAATATTAACACTACCTAGTATTAGGATGTGGTCATGTTCTCGGTCATGTTTGTCTTTGATAACTGGAATGTTTTTAAAAATACAATCTTGTCCCAGACCATTCCCAGACAAGTGTAATTTTAGTTATTTACAGAGGAATGTTGATTACATGTTAATTAAGATATTCAATTTTCTTCCTGAAACGATTCGACAACTGCCTAGTAATAAGATAAAAAATGTTTTAAAAGAGTTCTTGTACCAAAATGCTCTCTATAAATACACTGGATGAGTTTTTTGAATCAGATGTAGATTTAATTTAAAATTCTGAAGTGATGTAACATTTATATTTAGTTTTCTTTCTTGTCTTTTTGATTTTTTCTTTCTTATATTTTGTTTTTTTTTCTAGTTTTTAAATATTATTATCAATATTACAGTGTTAGTTTATAGTTAGAATTTAGTCTTAGATATTTGCATATATCATTAATTTAATTACCTACTGTTAATAACTTTTGTTTTTCATTATGTGAAATATTTCCATGCCCATATGGAGCTTCTATGTAGTTATGGGAAATAAAGATTACTTACTTACTATTACTATAAAATAAATTTAAAATAAAAAGGAAAAGAATATAATATCTTATAGTAAAGGCCGGTGTGTTTCCACCAAGGGCGCATAATGTTTGCAAATGTTCGCGAATGAACAGCAATATTTGCAAACACATTTATTTGTCCGGTGGTGATGTTATTTAGAATGTTTGCAAACGTTCGCGAACGGTCGCAAACCGATTGGCGATGCTCCGGCCGATGTCGGTACATCAAAGGGATTTGCTGTTTGTACGCGTTTTGTGGAAACAGGTTTAAAGGAAACTTTTTTTTAAAACAGGGACCATTTGAATTTGAACGTGTCATTTTGTGTCGATAAAAATTAAAAATGGAGTGGGATAATGAAAAGTGCTTGAAATTGATTGATTTATATAGATTAAAACCCGAAATATGGAAATCAACCCATAATTTATACCACAACAAATTTAAAAAAAATGATGCATGGTGTGATATAGCAGAAAAAATGGAAACTACAGTGGACATTATGAAAGCTAAAATAAATTCTCTGTTGTCCTCGTTTAGAAGAGAAAAAGCGAAGCAGGTAGCTTCGATGGGAACAGGAAAAGGTATATTTTTCTGAAATATTTTTATTCCTACGTATTTTATTTATATTTCTTCAATAGGGAGGTTAGGTATTATTGAGCTAACAAATGCTCATAGTTGCCCCAATATGGATCCTTTCCACGTGTCATAGAAACATAATCTGACTATACAGGATGGTCCGAGCTGTATTCAGGAAATTTCGGCGGCATATTCTGCAGATAAAAATAAGTAAAAAAGTTCTTATAAACGTATGTCCCAAAATGCTTAGTTTCGGAGATACAGAGTGTAGAAGTTTCAATTCTATTTCGATTTTTTCTAAATAATTTCTGAAGTACCATCAATATTTGGATGAAAATTGGTGTCTGGGAGTTTTTTGACATGAAAAATTTGATTTTGATGTCAATATGACTCCTACTTGTAGGCGCCACCTACATGTTTCTTAACTGGTTTTAAGAGATTTTAAAACTGGTTTAAAAAAAATATAAATGTACGACGTTTTTATGTAAAAAAGGTGTCTTGGTAAAAATCGCTACGAGTAACAGTTCTCAAGATATTTGGAATCTAAATTATCAATACCTGTCATCACTGACATAAATTAAACATGTTGAGTAAATAGTTATTGGACTAAAATAAAAAAATTGAAATGTTTTCGTTTCAAAAGCTCAACAAAAACTGTTTATCCTCATTTTTTCGAAGAAACATTTTTTATTAATTTAAAAAAATAAAAAGTTTCCAAATTTATCATTTCAGTCAAATATAACTATCTACTCAATCAATGTGTTTATTTTTTGTCAATAATGACATGTATTGACTATTTCAATTCTAAATATCTTCAGAACGGTCGCTCGTCGCGATTTTTACCAACAGACGATTTTTACGTAGAAAATCACGAAAATGTATATTTTTTTAGTCAGTAGTTTTATACAGGTACGGACGAAAAGTTATAAATCTTCACAACAGTTAAAACACATGTAGGTGGCGTTCCCTACAAATAGGAGTCATATTGACATCAAAATCAAATTTCTCGTATCATAAAACTCCCAAACACCAATTTTCATCAAAATATTGACGTTACTTCAGAAATTATTTGAAAAAAATCGAAATAAAAATAAAACTTCTACACCCTGTATCTCCGAAACTAGGGGTTTTAGGACATACATTTATACAAACTCTTTCACTTATTTTTATCTGCAGAATATGCCGCCGAAGTTTCAGAAATACAGTTCGGACCACCTTGTATATTACTTAATTGATGATTCCCATGTTTTACCTGAATGCAATGTAGACATTTAGAAAGATTTTTTCTGATAATCCAAAGTAATGAAGGTTAGCTAGTAACACATCATATTTTATAGTATCAAATGCCTTGCTAAAATTAATTGTTGTATAGAATTATTTAAATAAAGACTATATATTTCATACCTCCCCAACATGCTGATCTCTCGGCCGCACTCAGAGCCTTCAATTTGTTCAGCAACCTACGAAAACCTCTAGGATTGTGCTGGCTGTCAGTGGCGTGCCTGGCCACCTCTTCCAGCATCGCCAGCAATGCTTTCTGAGTACAGCCCGACATTCCGGTCATTTGCTGACCGATAAGGTGATCTAAAAGAGCGCATATGTAGTTGAATCGTCTCACGTCGCGCACAGCGCTACGGAAGTCCAGTCTTTTTACAGCCTCGTCTAATTCGTTGAAGCCAGCTATCTGTATAAAGAAAAAAGTTAAAAGATGTTATATTTCGCTTTAAGTAGGTTTACAATTTTTTATTAAATTTATATAAAAAACTATTGAAAATAAATTTCATGTGTGATATATTTTTGAAATCAGAATAAAATTCTAACTAATATTTTATACCAATATATTACTATTTATTTATACCAATAACTGTAATATTTGACAGGGTATGACAATTTTGGTTATCAATTAGTACCCCGAGTACCCCGCTTTACGCGACATCGATTTACGCGGTTTCGATGTCACGCGAAAAACTGGAAATATTAACAACAGGGAATTATACCGCCAATAGTTTGTTTACATAAGAACGAAGAACCAAATTACTTTTGTTTAAGACGCCGCGCGCCGCGCAGTTGATATCATTGCAGTTCTTAGGATGCCGTCTATTAGTAAGCTTGTGCGTAAAAGAGAAAATTTTTGCCCTCGGTAATTAACACCGCTATATTTCCCTTGATACGTAAATAACTATATACTTGTAATAATGGAAAACATTTCATGTACTCTTTCTAAGATATAAATTATAGTTCGCAAACAATAAACAACAAAGAGTAAAAATTATGTACAAATAAAAGACTGATTCCTCATCAAGGCCAAAAAATGATTCCTCATCAAGGCCTAGAGAAGGGAGCAATTTCAGTAGCGGGAGAAGATGGGTTGTTGAGAAGATAGGACCTTTAATTATAACACACGTAAAGACTATAAAAGAGTACACACATGGTCAAAATTATTGCATCTTTCACGATATTTTTATTTTATTTTGGACCTAATATGATTTTTTTTATATTTTTGGACATAATGGCTTACTGTTTGGACATATTGACTGACTAATATAAAATTAAAAATCTAAGTGCAACTAGGCTATTATTATAATTTTATTTCATAATGAGTGAAAATCAACAAAAACAAATTTCATTTTAAACAGAAAATATTGAAAACAATTACAATTATTTCTCACAACTAATAGTCTGTATTGCCTCCTCGAGCCGCAATGCAAGCTGTGAGACGACGTGGCATGCTCTCAATTAAGTTGTCTAGAAGATGTTGAGGAATGGCTTCCCATGTTTCGCGCGCAGCAATTTTCAATTCATTTAAGGTACGGGGGGGATCATTCCTTTTGGCAATATGGCGTTTTAGCATGTCTCAAACATGCTCGATCACATTCATATCTGGAGACATCGTTGACCACCACAGTTTTCTTATACCCTCTTCCTCACAAAATTTGCGAACCGCTAAAGTGCGATGGGGAGGAGCATTATCGTCCATGTAAACAAATTCATCCCCCACTGCCCCTCGAAATGGACGCACAATAGGCTCTAAAACGTCTCTAAGATATGAGGCACCTGTCATTGTGTCATCAATAAAAACAAGAGGAATTCGAGCTCCGTGCATTATACCTGCCCATACCATAATGCTTCCCCCTTAAAACGGGACACGGGGTTGAGCTGCATTCAAGCGTGCTCGTCTTCCAGATGCTCTCAAGACCAAAGTTCGTTGCGAGTCTAGGCCTATTCTTGTTTCATCACTAAACATGACGAAATTCCAATTAGGTCCATTTGCCCTCATCTCCTCAGCCCATTGTAGTCGCGTAATTTTGTGCTGTAAATTAAGCTTCGGAACACGTAGAGGCCTCCTTAAATGTAATCCTCTGTCATGGAGTCTTCTTGCTATGGTCTTTCTTGAAACATTTACTCCTTCAAGGCGAGCTAACTCATTTTTAATAGCAATACTAGAAAGCAGGGAATTGCGTCGTGTAATTAGGGATATTTGACGGTCTTGCAAAGCAGTAGTAACTCTCTTTCTACCTCTTCCAGGCCGGTCTGTAACCTCGTTTGTCTCCCTGATTTTTTTTAATATTCGCGAAACATCGCTTTAGTCAACTCCTACAATTTCAGCTATTGCAACTTGCCGGTAGCCCTGTTGAGACAGTGTTACTATTCTGACTCTATTAAACTGTGAAATGTTTCTAGGCATTTTAAGACCAAAACAATGATCAAATTTCTTCTGAAACCCAAGAGACCAGAAATCAAAATGTGCAAGAGTTTGTAATAATATTAGGTCTGAACGATAAACATTGTTTACCATATCCATTTTAACAAAAAAAAATGTTTATTGCAGATTATCAAAGCTATGTATAAAAAAAAGATTCTTTAAATTCCTTTCCGTATATTTTTAAACCATATATGCAATAATTTTGGCCATGTGTGTATTTTAAGATAGGTAGTTAAGTTGTAAGACGTAAGTTTTAGAATCTTTTTTTTTGTTCTTGGCAGAGATTTGCAATAAATGTGCAGCAATGTATTTGCTTTTTCGGTTTTAAATATACTATTGTTGAAATCCAGCAATTATCAATTGTCTTGGTTTAATTCCAAAAAGTTACCCAAATTACGCAATAGCTCAACCATAGGTAAAAAGATTGCACATTGTTAAAGCACAATTAAAATATTTAAAAAACTATTAATTATTGTAAGAAGTGGGGAAATTAAATGGCGAACAACGTCGCGGGCATCAGTTAATATGTAATAAAACTTGACTAAAAAGCCTATAACTTGTTTTTTGAATGAATATTCAATCTCCAAAAATTAAATAGCCAGTTAAAAATTGCCAAAATAAAATGCTAACAATGCTAACCGTGCATTTCAAGTTTGAGTAACTTTCCCATTTTTCGCTAAAATTTTAATTCGTTCATGGGAAATTAATAAATTATTTTCCAAAATAAAACACAAATATTTAGTTATACCTCTTTGGTACACTTCACTGTGATGTGACAATGAGGCTGATGACTTGTAGATTGAGTCAAGTCTATATTCTCCTTCTCGTCTTCTTCACTAGCCTGTTTGTACCTAAAAAAAAGCAAAAATAATCGATTAACAATCACCTGCACAACCATCAAAAATAAAACTTTTAAATCAATTAATATTTGTCACTTGATAAAAAGGAACTTCTGACTTCAAAGACTGGCAATAAAAAGATTTGTCATAACTAGATAACAAATCGAATTTTATCAAATTAATCACATCTAATGTATTTAAAGATTTATAGTGATTCTACCTTGTTATTTCGGGTGACAAATATACGATTTATAACCACTAAAACAAATAGTTTATTCATAATTTCATCCAATTTTAAACTTCAAACACCTTAAACATGATGTGGTTCCCTGCAGTTTTAATTTTATTTTACATTTCTCCAACAACCTCAAAGTTAAACGTAACAATTCAGAGACATTTTACAAACAAATACGAAATATATCAAAATTATTTTTTTATTACACATGATATAAAAATTATCCAATTAAAATATCATGATGATTTTGATCAATACACTGAAGACTTGATGAAAAACTTTTATGAACTAAATTTAAAGTTTGTGTGGAAGGCGTTGTGGATCGAAGATTATACAATCACAGCTAAAAGTAATTTAAAAGAGAAAATAGAGCCTTTTGAATCAATTAAAGTACAAAATGTTGAAAGGCTAGCCAATCTAGAAAACCCACTGAAATACATTTATTTTGACAAAGAATTATCTACAGTCATTATAGGAAAAGATCCTGATATGATATTTAGTTATCTACAATCTGTCGATATGTATATTTTCACCAGAAATGGAAGAGGCTTATTTATAATAATATTATCATCTCCTAATGTAAATGTTATTGAAGCTCAAAGAATTCTTGTTTTATTATGGAAAAAGTTTTCTATAATAAGTGTGGTAATTCAAATACCTTACAGCTCTGAATTGAGCGATTTTGTTTTTATATATAGACCATTCATTCCAACAGATCATGGTTATGGACAAGTTCATATTTATAAGTACGCCGATGTTGTAAATTACCCTCATATTTTATTTAATCAAGTAACAAACTTATATGGCTACCCTCTTAGGATTTCATTATTTGAACGGTACCCAACATCCTTAAAAAATATCCCTTGGTTTATGAGAAACTCTAGAAAGTACCGTAATATTCAGAATACCAGTAAAATGTTTGGAGTGGATGGTTTGACCATTTCTGAACTTTCTATAAGAATGAATTTCTCAATATCGCTTTACTATGGTCCGAATAGTGACTCATTTGGTAATGTACAATCTAACGGTACGATTACTGGTACTTTTGCAGAAACTATCAAGAGGAATATTGATTTGCAAGCAAACTTGAGGTATTTAACTATATACGGTACAAACAATTATGAATTTACCTTATTCTATGATTCGGACCAAATTTGTGTTGTGGTACCTAAAGCTGGAAGAGTACCAAAGTGGTTGATGACTTTCCATTTATTCCAAGGAAATTTAGGGTTACATATTTTGGTAATCCTAATTCTGAGCAGCGTGTTATACAAATATTTATTGAACATATCATTCGCTAATTAATTTTTGGACATTTTTAACATATTTCTAAACCAACCCAGTTTAGTCAAAAGCAACCTAACGAAATCAATAAATGTCAGAATATTTTTAGGTAGTTTTTTGATATTTTCTACTGTAATGTCAAGAATATTTTCCACTAATTTGATTTCAACATTTGAGACTATCAATTATTATCCAGATATAAACACTTTGACGGAATTTGATAAGACTGGAAAAGTTATAAAATCTGGATTTAATCCATTTTTAACGAATTCATCTGAATTATACCAAAGACTTGGGTCAAAAATCTTGGAAACAACTGATGACAATTTGTCTTCAATAGAATTGACTGCCCAATTTAAAACTGCAGGTCTTGAGCGTCTAAAAGATGCTCAACTAATTATAAACACTAAATGGTTGGACGAAAATGATCAACCTTTGATACACATCGTTCCAGAATGTCCTCAACAACTGTTTCTGGTGTATATTGTGCCTCTTGGATCTCCTTTTTTGTATATTTTCAATACGATTATGCAGAATTTTCAGGCGGCAGGATTCAACAAGCAATGGTATTTGGATTTGTCGGAAGCTATTATTTTAGAATCAAGAAAGCAACGAAAAGGTATGCACAAGGAAATGTTTAGGAAATTCAATATGGAAGACATAAGAAGCGTCTTTTTTATTTTGATTGGAGGGTATTTAATTTCTCTTGTGGTGTTACTTGCTGAGCATTTAGTCTCTAGAAATCAGAAATGCAAGAAATGAAAAAATTTCGCTGCTGTTGTTTAGTATTTGTTAAGTACTAGCAAGAAAAATAAGAAAATTATTCAAATTATAGCAAAAAATATATACATATCACGTTTCAAAATAAAACTCTGTATTTGCTAGTAGATATATGGTTTTTTATTTGTTTAAATAATATAACATTAAATCCTTCAAAAATAACAGTAATTTTACAATCCCAAATTAAATACATTATATCGCGCAACATTGTAACAGATTTATTTAGTTAAAAAGTGTTAATTAACTGAATAATAACTATTAATGAAGCTAAGGTTAAAAATTAGTTATGAATTAGGGCGCCAGATCACATTGTCCGCTATCATTCACAGAATTAAAAACTATATTATCCAGATCATTAAATATTAAAAATGAATGCATTACGTACCAACCAGATGATATCTTGGAGTACAGTCTTGGAGTAATGTTTATAATAAGCTAAACTTTGTCTTTCCGAATATGGTAATTCGTAAGAATAATGTTGATTCTGCCGGTGACAGTGGTGGAGAACGCTCATTTTCGAACTTGAAATTTTTCAAAAACTATTTGCGTACCATTATGCATCAGTACGCTTCAATGACTTAGCTTCAATATTTATAAAGAGACAATTTCATTTGTGACTTATTTTTTGCATATATTATTATATAAAGGAAGTTAAGAATTCCATTTAAGTCCAGAATGTTGTTCACTAGGACGTATTTCAGGAAAATATTGTCACCTATACAGGATGTATCGAAAATGTGCCAGCCGCTGATGGTGAATATTTCTGAATCGAATAATTATCCTGGAGATTTTAAACGTAACCAGTAGAGTAAACTCTGTAACCAGTTCGGAAATATTGGTCTTTAAAATACTCGTATAACAATTTGCCTTCTTACAGGCTACATAATGCAAACGATACGACATACAGTGAAACAACTTACATGTTGCTTACACCTAACTTTTTGTAAGCTAGCGAATGACACACATTTTATTGCGAGGTAAAATTAGCCGGAAGCCAAGTACAGGCAGTCCTCGTACTTACGGCAGGTTAGGTTCTTCAAAACAGCGCCTTAAGTCGAAACGACGTAAGTCGAATCTTATTTTGTCATAAGATTCTATAGAAAATGGAGAAGTTAGGTACTTTTCTAAGATAAAAACACAATAAAACAAAGAGATGTGCGTTTGTATATATTAATATTATTGTATTTTCAAATAATTGAGGTATGAGAAACAGTGTATAGTATATGTAGTTAAACTTATAATAATACAAGAATAAAAGAAACGGAAAACAGAAAAAAAGTAAAATATAAAAAACGAAATATATTTTAGGAAGTATTTTTTATGAAAAACATAATTAGAGTATTTTTAGTCCCGCTTTTTTACTATCTAATCAAAAAAAGTATTTTTAACTATCCATAATAGTACATATAATACATAAATATGACAACTACAGAAATACCAGAGAGTAAAGTAGATATAATAATTCTTCTATATAGACTGGTGGTAGCAAGGCGGCTGCGGCTTCAAGAATAAAGTGCCTGAGAAAGCCCACCATGACAAGGCGAAACGTCGCATAATAAAAAAAAAAGTTTCCATTTTCAATTAATAAAAAAAAAACTCATACCCAAGAAAGGAAAAAAAAATATATATGGATATAATTCTAAATGTTTAAGAAAAAGAAAAAAAAGTAGATATATTTATAAAGTATATTTATATTTATTTTTTGGTTGGAACTTTTACTGTGGGTATCGTCAAAAGTCGTAATAGTTGCTCATGATGAATTAAGTCATGATCAACACTGTCCCGCTTTTTCATTATGAGGATCTGTCAATCCTGCTTGTATGTTGCTAAAATTTTATTGTTTATGTCCTCTTTGTTCTTTTAAAATTTGGATCGTTCTTTTCAAAAAATGACGTAACTCAAAACAGTGGGACGTAACTTTGAGGAAAAGTGACAAAAATTTGTTCGACGTAACTCGAAACGACGTAACACGAAACGACGTAAATCGAGGACTGCCTGTATTCAATTTTAGTTAGTGTCATTAGATAGCTTATGGAAAGCTGAGTCGCTTATGTCGTTTGGATTCGGAATAATATCACAAAAGGAAAATTGAAATCTTTCTGATGTCCATATTTCAAATATACGACTAAAGATTATATAGGAGGTTTTATACCAAAATAGACATAGAAGATTTTACACCCAAATACATATATCACTGGGGGTTCCATTTAAAAAAATGCTTCACACTGTAGCTGGCACTTTTCTGAGACACTGTGTGTTAATATATTAAAAAAAAATAAATCCAAGTAAACAGTGAGGGTCTATAGTTAAATGAATTTCAAAACGTTTTTCTTACAAGATGACCTTAATAGATGTCCGACGAACTGTTGTTTATTAAGAAAAATAAAAGACGAGAGAATTGACGTATAATTCTGATTATGTAAAGTGATCTGAAAGGAAGCCAAAAATGCAATAATATACAGGGTGTCCCATTTCAAAAAAATCATCCCGATCTACTCACACTTTTTTGAGCCATGTAGAAGTTAAAATATTTCATTGAAATACATCCTAGTACATACTTTACATTTGTACTTAAACAATTTACAATAATTTATTTTTCATATCAACATAGGTCCGATACTGCTTTGTTTCGTAGCTACTGGGTGTTAAAGTCTTAATATTTTCTCGATTTATTATAATTTTCTTCCAAGTACTTTTAGCGTTTTGAACGATATTTTGAGGGTAAAAATTACTATAAATGAGACATATTATAAAGCTAAAAAAGTGTTGACATATTAACCAGGGACGTGCATATGGGTTGTCACTGGAATATTTTTCTAAAAAAAGCATGTACGCCACTGTTTTTTTTATCTTGTTAGCGAAATAGTGTAAGCAGTTTAATGCCGATTAAAAGTTGTGTCTTGATAGTTTGTCGATTTCGGTCTCCTTGATGAGAAACGCAATTTTATTAATTTGTCTTGAAGTCTAATAGCAACCTTTAAAATTTTTAATATCATTAATTTGCAAAAGTTTTAAATAAGTACTCATTGATTCCTCATCAAAAAATTTGAAAAAAAGTTCCTATAAACATGGGTATGGAAATGCATACTTTTAGAGTTACAGGATGTTAAAACTTTTTAAAATTAATCCTTTTGTAATTATCTTAAATACCAGTATTTTTTAATTTGAAATTGCTCTAGGTTGGACTAATAGTAATAATAACATATTTAATAATAAATTAGGTAAAATATATCATTTATTAGTTATATTTTTATTAATTGTGATATCAAAAGAAAAAAAAGTCATTGGCGCACATGTTTTTTTGAAAAATATTCCAGTGATGACCCATATGACGTCCCTGATGAATTTATCGACACTTTTTTAGCATTAAAATATGTAGCACTTATAGTAACTTTTACCCTCAAAATTTCATTCGAATCACTAAAAGTACTTATGAAAATTATAATAAATCGAAAGATTATTAAGACTTTAACACCCTGTAGCCACGAAACAAAGCGGAATCGGACCTATGTTGATATGAAAAATAAATCTTATTTTATGCGAGGAATGGCACATATTTATTGAATCGCCCTGTATAGAAGCAGACCCTTTTTATTTCTCATAATATAATGTAGTTAATTCAAGAGTAATTCTTGATTACTCAGGGTATGTAGACTTCGTGTCAATGGAATGGTTTTTGTTTATAGCGCATATACTTGTCTAATTAAATGATTTTAATTTAATTTTTTAATGTATTTAATTTTTTTGTATGTTAATTTATTTCTTTTACATTTTTTCACCGTATATTATAATATTCAAGACAAAAAGACTATTCTTGTTCGTATTTCCTTGATTTTATTTTTTCATTGTTTTAAGTATTAAGCTGCCACGAAATATTATTTATTTGTCAACATCCAAGAAAAGAATTAAAGATCCTGTTTAGCTTTTGAAAGCCGTAATTGCCCTATAATTTTCTAGTCAATTCAATTCAATTGTCACACTTTTTTCAATTCAATTGCCCTATAATTTTCTAGTCAGTTCAATTCGATTGTCACAATCGAAAAAAAGCTCTTTATAGTAAGCACACAAGATTTATATTAAGACATGAAAAACATCTTAATAAAGTTAGTTTTCATCAGTGGTTTTGGAAGGGTTTTGACCAAATTATTACCAACTGAAAAACCTAAATGTTTTGTCGAAAACACTCACATAGCTTATGCAAGACACTTCCATTTTGCCACTACTATGAGTGTTAGACGACTCAAAACACTACCGGAAAACGATAAAGATTATACACTTTTAGATGTGGAAGATATACTATATAACGTTGGTCCGAATCCTGGGCTAAAGAGTCGACTTATTCATGACAGAATAAT